TACCCAAATAAGTAGATTTTTACATAATTGGATAGGCTTGTTTTTTCATAAGAGAGTAGTATAAATATTTTGGCTAACCATCCTTGATATAAATAGGTGATTTGTAATGTCTTAAATACCACACATTTTTTTTTTACTTTCTATAACGTATTCATTTTATACAATCTAGTTAGCTCTACTGTTCTAAGAAAAAAAATTCTTCAGAAAGCTTAAAAACTTTGTGGAAGCTGCTCTCAAATTCTCAATGAAGTTTTATTCTTGATAAAACTTGATATGTGTTTTAAGTTAACTAATGATGAGACTATTGCTTCGAGAGTAACCTCTTGAAACATCTTGAAAATATTATGTGTAGAGTAATAACAATTGAATTAAATAACGTTTAGAAATATTTCTGACTATTTGTAGGATATGTGCGCAGTACTTAATAAATCACCTTTTAACAAATAACTCATTTGTCCAACAGCAATCGGCATACGTTTAATTTCATGAATTTTTTTATCACGTTTCCACGTCTAGGAGTAGATTTTCAGTTTTTAAATTTAAATAAACTACTTCAGCCGTTATTAGCGTTTGAAAAAAAAAAAAAAAAAATTTGTTAGAACATGAATATCGTTTATTTACAAAACTACGTTTCTTACATACAAAAGCATTACTTGTATAATTTAAGAATAGTCTACCAAATCAGAGCAGGAATATCGACTTTTTTACAAACGAAAGCTCACTCGGTCAATAACCGCGCGGCAATCAAGGCCAACAAAATGGGATTTTATAAATTAATACATGGACATTGCATTGACGATAACTACCGTATCTCTTCCAGTCCATTCAGAAAGTGGAGAACACGTATACGTGTTTCATTCACTCTCTTTCTTTCTCTCTCCATTTATATTCCTTCTTTTTCATTGAAAAAGGAGTATTTACGCTCATCCAAAGTACCCACGTGGTACACATGTATTAGTCAACATTCTCCCCCTTCATCCTCGTGAGCGCCAGCTTCTCAGCTGTGCTCTAGGGTATCGCGCTACCAACCCCCTTACCCTCTTTCCAATTGAAATTCGAGCGCTGGCAGTGGCAGTTCTCTTCCTCCTCCTTTGCAGCGTTAATAGCCTCTCTCCAAGTCTGTGATCGATATCATCGCGCAGCTAATCCGCATAGCCGACCTCAAGTTTTATACTCTTACTCTTTCATTTTCTCGCTCTACATGAGACTTTATCATTCGGAAAATTTTAATGAAGTTTCTTTGACTGTGAACTGTTTCACTTACGGTATGAGCTTAGCTGTGAGGTTTGTTGATTTACATAATCGCTCGAAATGTTTGGTCAAAGTATTGGCTTTTATGTATGGAGCTAACTCGGGTGCCATTATTTTATCATTTTAAATATTTCGGAATAAAATTTTTTTTTTTCTGAACTGTAATGTACTATTTTTGTTTGGAATTTTTTAAAATTTATTTTAATTTAATAAACTGAAAAAAAATTTTTTTAATTAAGAAGTGTGACGTATTGCTAAAAAATAAAGATTATCATGAAATTTTTGTAAAATACTTGATTACTGTTTCTAAGTAGATATTTTGGGACTTGAAAAAAAAAATTTTACTCTCTTTATACACAAAATACATAATTTTTACTGAAAAAGTATTGTCAAGAAGGTAGTGTACTATTGTAAGTAGTAATAAGCAAAAAAATTAAACATACAACCTTACCCAAATCTCTATGAATGGAGAATGACTATACAGCAATCTAAACTTGAAAAAAATTCTTTTTTTACTGTAATGGACATTTTTGTAATTTATTGAAAAACAACGAGTTTATTTTTGAATTAAAATGCGATAAAATCTAATGATCTTTGAAATCCGATGAAAAAAGAGCTTGCAAGCTCAGCTTTTCCGTACTTAGAACTCTGCTGCCAACGTCAATTCCACTCGTCCGCGTAATGATACAGCGTCAACATCCGTGTCTTATAATACACCCCCTGGAGCGAATCCAGTAGCAGACTATACTCATTCCTCGAGCAAACATCGTGCACATCTATGTACTCCGCGTTCTCTCAACTTTCCTCGTAAAAGACCCGAAGAAAGAAAGCACGTTGACAACTCGAGTTTGGCGAAACAAAAAGAGCGCTTGCTCACTCGCTCCCACGGCAAAAAGGGAGATTGCATAATCGCGCACATGAAGAATGAAGAAGCAAAGAGAGAGAGAAAGAGAAGGAAAGAAAGAAAGTACGGGTCGTCGACCCTGAAAAGCATCTCGTGCTCGCAAGAGCGACGTTATTACCTTGCGCCTATGATATCATATCAACAAAGTCACGAGCACCTGCTGAGCCTTTACATATATACCGATACGCTTACAGAGAGCACGTGCCGGTGACTTTAGCTACGGTAACCTAGCGATGCTATGGGGCACACTCGTTCGTAGAAAATACACGAGTCAAGTTGGGAAACGGAAGGTATATGTAAGGGTCGATCTAGCCTGGCTGCTTTACATCTACACGCAATGTTTATAACCAACATTGGACAGAAAGGAAGGCAATAGGTTTGTATACGTGCAGCGTATATGCTGCAGGGGTTGAAGAATGGTAGAGTTTCTCTCCCTTTTTAAGTGGCGTCATCCCCATGGAAACGACTTCACCTCTTCGCGTGTGTGCATACGTGTGTCTGCTTGTTCGTGTGGTGTGGACATACACATATACATGTGTGTGCAGAAACCTGCGGCTTTCTTCGGTCTCTCTGCACGCGACCCCTTCTTTCTCTCCTTTCTTGCGTCTTATCTACTTTTTCATAGCCAACCTTAGGTACGCGTAAGAGGATCCCCTTAATGAAAAACAATTACGGTGAAGAGGGAGGATATTCTTTTTCCTCGTGGCATGATGCTGGTAAAAAAAAGACATGTCCTGCGCCCCAATTATGCACCGTGCGGGTGTATTTTATGCGAGAGACTGAAGTTTAGGGGTGTGTTGAGTACATGCATGTGTCCACTGGGAGGGGGCTTTGTTTGTATCTGATTTAATTTTTTAGAAGATAAAAGAAAGGGGTAAGGATGAAAAAAGAGGATGTTGTATGAGTAGATGCGTTCGAATTATTGATTATTGCTGTGTAATAAATTGGTGACCGATAAAATTATAATTGATGTTTAGAGATTTAAGACTCAAGTGTCATAGATTTTTATCATTGGCATATTTAATGCTAAAAAATTTAAAAAAAATTTTCTATTCCATTTTAATGTTATCTGTTAAATCGATGTACGTTTTTCTCAACGGTTCATGAGAAACGACAATAAGGCTTCAGAAGTAAATTTTTTGTAATATTACTTTTCTTAACAAATGTTCATAAATGCCTTCCATATATTTTTGTGATAGAATTCGGTACATAAAATTTATTTAAAGATTTTTCAGTGATACTATCTAACTGAAATACTCTCTGAAATAAAGATATATTTTAGAAAATTTCATACTGCAACTGAATCCAAAACTAGAAAAAAGTACTTTCAGAGAAATAAAAGAAGGTTTAGATTATCTTTTTAATATTGTTTTGGATAAAAATGAATGATTTCTCATAAATATAAATAAATTGAATTGGTTATCCAGAACAATTTTTTTTTTTATCGAGTTTAACGTGAAAAATATTGATGGTAGTTAATTCATTAGATAAACAACTTGTTAATTAAGAGTATAACATACCAAAATTTATTTTTATGTATGTATATAAAATATTGCACCACAACATCAAAAGCACATTGAAACCGGTTTTTCTAGTGTATTTTTAAGATTAAAGAATACCACTCATTCATTATTTATATTAGATTAAGGCATGATTTTTTTATTTAATTCAGTTTTTAGGCATGAACAATGTATTGGAGTTATTAATTTTAGCAAAGATATCCACCTCAAATAAAAAAATGTACACTTCAATCCAATTTACTCTAGTTCTTAGGATTTATTATTATTTTACCATTACGTACTTTGTTTCAATAATAATGTTTAAAGCCTCCTTCATTGATAGTTCGAATGTCACACTTCCCTCATTATTGATGAGTTTTTGCACTGTTAGTGAATTGAGTTGGAAAAAAAAAAAAAAAAAAATAAAAGCTATCGATACGTGGGGACTGACAAATCGACAAGCTCGCTTACGATGCAAAGACGAGACCACAACCCAGACGATCAAGAGAAAAGATATAGAGACAAGTACACAAGGTTGCGCCAAGAGACTCGAGCCAACACGATGTGCCACCGCTTCTTTTCAAGGGCATGCTTTCTTCTATACATCCAACTCGTCTTTGCCTTTCTAGTCATGACTCCCTCGAGGCTTCTCCTTCTTCTTGCAGATTCTACGGTCATTTCTAGCTTGTATAGGGCCTAGAGCTTTCCCTATGACCCTCGTTGCATGCGCTCAAGCGTCCCTCCTTCGGTTGATGCATGGCTCTTGGTCGATATCGCAGCCGTAACTTCACAGCACGTGCCATAGGCTAGCCGGTGTACTTACGCTTGAGGCCGTCGACGGTAAGATTATGCAATGGTGGCCGCCAGCTTTACCTTCTCTCAACCCCTAGTTATTACTCTCCCTCCCTCTTCCTCTTTTTCTTTGCTTCCTCGTGAATATTAGCACGTGAGCTCAGCTTGGGGGGGGGGGGGGTGTGATTAATATACACCTTTTCCGCTTGGGCGAGTGCTTTCCTGGAGTAAGTGGCTCCATGCTTGAAACTTATTTCTTATGTTTCAGGGACTAATTTTCGTACATTGACATTTTGGTCAGATTAGTGGCATTTTTCATTGTCTTAACGTGAATTAGAAAATAACTGGGGAATCGGGATCGGGATGATTTATCAGGATGAAGATTGATGTTAAGCTGCTTGGGCTACAACAAAGTTAAGCTTGATGGCCGTGCCTCTACTAGCAACACGTCTAACTATTTGTCAATGCATTTACAGAACCAGTCAAAAGTCGGACAATGAGAGTCTAGAGCTGGTGACTGACGAAAGGAGAGAGAGCCAGGCTACAGTTGATGAAAGAAGAGAAAGATGTGCCTTGAGCCGCAATAATGCTGTTGGCAAGCGTTGCATCGATACCGACGATCACCGGCACCATAGAGCAACAGGAGTATGCCAACAGCGAGGCCAACAGCGGTCACTGCGATGGCTACGTTACCGATCACACGGATCTCGGCTCTGACATCGATGAGTCCGAGTATCGACGCGAGCTCCTCAACGACGTGAGTGTTTCTCTCATTTTTTCCCTTTTTTTTGGCTCGTCTTTAAATCACTCCTTTTTTTTCTGTCTCCGTTGAAAATGTGTCACGTAAAATCCCACCAGAGTCGGGAAGTTAGTTTTTTATACAAAAACGTGGATTTAAAGCATGAAATGGAATTATTGATTCCTGGCTGGTAGACGGGCGATAAAATGTTTTCCTGTTTCGTTCAACAGGGTCAGTTGGTATAAATTGAATGCAAAGTTTTTCAATGGCTATAAATAACAGATGTGGATTCTGATTACAGAACTGTCGGAGATGTAATCAGATGAGTTTTATTCTCGTATATTTCGATAAATAAACGAAGATGGAAAACTTTGTCAAATTAAAAGATTTTTTGTAAAATAAATTTTTAAATTGGTAATTTTACATAATTTTAATATTCATTTTATTCAATGAAAGTTATTCAAAATTTTTGTAAAATAGGTTTACATTGTAGGAACGTATGTATCAATACTAATACATAATTAGACGTAATAATTATTTCGACTTATCTTCAAGAATAAATTATTAAATGTTTTATCAATGGAAGTCCTTGTAGTTTCATTCTGACATACTGTAATTAATCCAAAGTACAATGTTGTTTTCTTCGTTTCAGAAATGGAGACTACTGTTCGACAAGGTAAGCCATCAAGATACAAACATTTTTTTTTGTGAGATTAAAAAATTATAAAAAATAAAAAATTTTGGATTGTTTTATTGGCGTTAATCGTAGTAATTAAGCAAAAGAAAGATGAGCATTATCATGACTATCTACTTTGCAGTACGATCCCGAGGGTTTTGGGGAAATTCCAGTCGAAGATTTTCTAACGGCGCTCAAAAGTCAAGACTGGCAAAAGGAGATTCCACTGAACAAGAGGGATATTTTATACATGAGGGTCAAGGAATCACGTGCCGAAGCCATTACGTTTCAGGACTTCGTTAATGTGGTAAGTCTTTTGTGTTTTCATGATTTTTCTTAGTCAAAAAGTAGCATGTTAATAAGCTTACATTAAAACGGATCATCACATGATTGTAAACTTAATTTTACGCCTGTTTGAGATGCAACCATATGTACTCCCGCGTCTGACACCAACCGTACGTGTAGATTATAATTATAATTTTTTTTTCTTTCTTTTTTTTATTACTGGACTTATAAATTAAGTTTTATTAAAATTAATTTATAAAGATTAAGTGATAAATGCATGACGATGGAAAAAAAAACTAACAATAATTACACTTAGTAAAAGACTCCAGAGAGTAAGTATACGTGCTATAGTTATTATAAATTAGATAAAAGTGCACGGCAAACCTTATCAGCAGTACCTGATATCAATTACTTTTACGCCGAATTAAAGATATAAGTATACACTAGATCGGGCCAGCCTGTGAGTCCGCAAATGGGGGAAAAAAGTATTATTAAAAAATAGAGCATAAATCCAGCAAATCCGCAGGGTTTATATACTTATTACACTTCTTCTCAGTACTCAATCATGCATCAATCGTGCTCATGCCTATTTGTTGGAGGAGGGAATAATGGCCCAACACGCTAAGAGAGTGAGGAATTTGTCAAGGCGAGCGTGCACACTCTTCTGGTTCGTGAAATCTCGACAGATAATAATCTACAAAAAAACGAATTGCTGATCTCGAATCCGAACCCATATACATTCGTACGGAAAAAGAAAAAAAAGAAAGAAGAAAGAAAAAGAGGGGAAAGGGTACTGGGGAAAAAGTCCCATCGGCGTCCTCTTTGTCCGCTCTCGCATTCCGACCTATTAGAGTTTTGAAACTCCTTGTGTTTCCTTTTTACCACAGTTCCTTTCTTCCTGGCTGCCATAGTAGCAGTGGTAGATTTTTCTCGTCAACCAAATTGTTAAAGCACTGAGCCGATATTTGAGTGGCGGAAAATTATCCCAACAGCTTTTTGTTGGGCCCAACCATTGCGACTATGGATTTTCGTACACGATCATTGCAACCCATTTCAGTTTTGGATTTTTGCGGTCCGCTCGTCGTAACACGTCCGACTTGGCTTAGGAAAAAATGCTTTAGAATGAATCGCTCAATTCAAGTGAAATAATCATCTTTTATTTTTTCTCGAACGATTTGAGTGACACAACTTTGCTTGGTTCAACCAATTTGAGTAATACTCTCGGATCTTTTTTCTTACAAATCCTTGATTTTTCATTTTTTTCTAGACTGGTGGCAAACCATCCCACTAATTTTGATTATTCCTTGTTAACAATACAATATTCTTCTTTGATGATTTTCTGTTTCTTACTCTACTTACTTAACGACTAACGTTTAGTTAATTAGTCACAATATATTGTTAACAAAACATTACAAATTTTATTTTATTAAATGTGTAAGTGTATTAGTTTGTTTATAAATCATTCTTTGATTACTCGAAAACACTGGTAGCCTTGAATACAATACGAATCTTTTTGAGTATTATGTATTTAACGATGTACAATAATTATTTTATTTTGAATTCAATCACTTACTTATTGAATTTTACATTGTAAGTTGTTATTGACATCTTTTTGAAATTTAAAAAACAATAATTCACATTTTTATAATTTTTCCAGTTAGAAGCAACATAATGTATGGTAAAATAAACGTTAATAAAATATAAATTGTAAATTAGTTCAATTTTTAAACATAAACTTTATAATTGAAATTCGTTCAAGTTATAAGTAGTACGATATATTTCGATTTTTAATACCGTAAGGAATAGTTGGAAAAATTACTTAAAAGTTATGGAAAAAAAATTCATACAATTATATGTTAAAGTTACTATTAAAGCTAATTTTGTAACTATAAAAGTAATAGCTGTTACAACTTTCAACATAAGAATTGATGATGTAATGGATAATCAATAGTTTTTTTTTTTTCAATGATTTCTGTAATCATTTAACAGGTCATGAACTAATTGACTAATTTTTTTGTTCTAGTTTACATTGATTGAACAAATGATTTAATCATTACATTGATAAATAAACATCTATAAAAATGTATACATAAAGACGAAAACATCGACTTGATGCTCAACAACATGTAGTAAAAAATTAATAAAATTAAGTGATTTCTCTTGGCAAACAGTAACAAAAAAACTTTTTTATATTTTAGCCAGTGAATTATAGTGCAAGATTAAACGTGACCTTAAGCAATGCATGATTTACAAATGTATCCTTGAGATCATCAGTGAGTGAGTACACTTCACAATATCTTTCGCTAAAAATTAAAAAACAGAAGGAAAAAAAAAAGGAAAATAATTATAGTGAGACCCAAACAAAAAGGAAGCACAAAAATCATTTACGAGGTCCCATCTGGTATTGGGCTTCCAAAAGCAAACAGCCTCTAATAAACAAGCTGCCGTTCCCGCGCTCCTCGTCAATCTCCCTCCTTCGTCATCTGGACTCACAACCCACCCCCCTCCATATATACACACAGTCTCAACTCGACTCTCGTCCAACAGAGCCACATTATCATTACGCTCTCGCGCGCAAATTTACACGTCGGCACGCCGAAAAAGAGCTCCTTCGACTAATGCCCCCTGATCTTACGGTGTACACGTATACGTCGAGCGATTCCAGGAAATATGGTCCCCCCTTTACACACATATACCCACACCTACCGCGGAGAAAGACAGAGAGAGCTGCTGCTGCTGGTGGTCAAGCTTTTCGGCTCGCGCGGTTGCGCTATCTTTTGCTTCTGATGCACGCGACCGAGTGGAGAACGATTCGTTGATTTACGAGTGCAAACAAGGTGGTCTCCACTGATGGCTTATATAATTCTTTTCTTTCGTTTTTTTATCCCTCTCACTTTCTTGTGCTCGCACCTTTTTTTAATTTTTTTTTTTTTCTCTCTTCCAAACTTTCTGAACAGCGAGGTGCTTGATTGCGCAGCAACCGGACATTGGTCATGGCGGTGCGTGTATTTTTCAGGCACCATTGCGTTATTTCTTCTCATCACTTGTTTGTAGCGTTGATTTATTATCGTTGTGGTGCATATTGTACCGATATTCTTAGTCCTCAAAAAAATGCATATTGTTCAATGAATTTCCATTTCATTCGGAAAAAAACTTGTATTTTATACAGCCTGTTGTTTTCATTAGTTCATGATTTATAAATTGAGTAATTAATGATCGTACGAGTAATGTAATAACATCTACTTAAATCACTGATAAAAAAAAAGATTAGGTATTTACGTGCAATATGCTTCGAAACATAAACCATCTGCGTTTAGTAAAACTATCACGAGTAAAAATAACAACGATATCTCGTTTGACTTGTAGAATCGTTAAAAATAAATATTTTTTTAGCTTGATTTTTTTTTTCATTCATTTTTTCTTCGATACTCCGCAACACTTGACACGAATACTAAAAATAATATTTGCTCGGAAAGAAGTTTGCTCAAATTTCAAAAATAACCAAGTCTTTTTCTTTGATGCCAACGATCTGAGAAACATCGCCGTTTCCCAAATCCCCTTTCAAACACACCCTTTCTGCGCACACAGTGAAAAACGAGAAGGCCGATTTTCGCGTCGCGCCAGATCGGATTATTAGGCTAATTTTCCAGCGAACAGCCCGGAAAACCCGTCCACAGCAGCAGCAGCTCCCTCAGAAAGGATAACCATCAGCTAAGGGATCTTTTTGGCCAAGAAAAACAAGGTACGCTGGTCGGAGCGCAAAAAAAAGAGAGGAAATCACTCGCGCGACAAACCCTCGGTCACAGGCACGATGCACAAGCTAGTTTGGATAGAAGCTTACGAGGCTCAACTTTTACCTTCTTTTTCCTTCGTCTAGCAGCTTGGAAGAACTGAGTATACCTGTGTGCCAAGTTTCTTTTTCCCCGGCAGCTCCGAAGAGAGCCTTGGATTTCTCGGATCAACCGCAGAAAACTGCCGCTGCCGCCGCTGGATTAACACGTTGAGGCTATTATCTCCTTTTCCATGAGCACCGAGAGATTTCGAGCGCCGATTTGGGTGGAAATCCTTTAGCTCAAGCTTCCTCGTAGATCTGAGAATTCGACGCACTCTTGTTACCCTCTCAAGGAAACGTTTCTCCGGAGTTTGTCTTTGCAATTGTAAAATTTTTTCTTTGTGCACTGCTCGATTTTTCACTGTCATTATTCATCGTTTATTTATATTTTCCATTTTATTGAAAGGAATTTTTGTTGCATGAAATCAGGAAGAATAGTCGAATGGATAAAACTGTAGCCCCATGCCTTATAAAAATAATTTAAAACAAAAGAAAGAATTTGCATGAATCACTAAAGGATTACGAAGCTAATAAAAAAATCGTAAATCACGTTTTTAAGACTCATCGGGACCAATAAAGATACTCCAAGAGATCGGCACGCCCAAGTGCCATCATTCCATAAGCCGATCATGCCAAATGTCATGCAATACTTGCTGACACATATACATCTGGATCTCATTTGACCTGATTATCTTCTTCTTCCTCTAGCCACCTCCGAAAGTGTGATACCTTTATGAGCTGTCGGTAAATAACTCTTGACTTAACAACATCCTCGAACAAGGTGCCACCACCAGGTAGTTCGGGTTACTGGAGCGCCGGCATAATACGTAATATCGATCGACCAGTCGTACAACAGTGAGTCTGTAAATACATGAGAAAAAAAGGAAAGATTTGGTGTATGTGAGTGTTGGCCCCAGCAGACACGCTAAAAAGAAAAGAGAAAATTTCCAATCACAATGTGGATGGCCATTGTTCGTGAGCGTGCAAGGAATACAGAGAAACAAGAGGAGGTGAAGGAATATAGTGAAGCGAAAGGCGGGAGGCGAAAAATCGACACGTCACTAATTTGCCGTTAATTTGGCGCCTAGTGGGAGGTCCGATTCTCCCGCCCCAACGTGGTACCCATATAATGTATATATAGCCGAAGAAAGGGCCCTACCACTCGGATCAAACAAAAAAAAGCAATTGCA